ATCCAAAAAGGACTGGAACAGCACATCAACAGAGAACTACCAGAAGTCCAGGCTGGCTTCAGAAGGGGTCGTGGTACTAGAGATATTGTAGCTGATGTTAGATGGATCTTGGCTGAAAGCAGGGAATACCAGAGGAATGTCTATCTGTGTTTCATTGACTATGCAAAGGCATTTGACTGTGTAGATTATAACAAACTGTGGCTGACTCTGAGAAGAATGGGAATCCCAGAACACTTGATCGTTCTAATGCGAAACTTATACTTGGACCAGGAGGCAGTCGTCAGAACAGAGCAAGGGAACACTGCATGGTTCAAAATTGGGAAGGGCGTACGCCAGGGATGCATCCTATCTCCATACCTTTTCAACCTATATACAGAACAGATTATCCAGGAGGCTGGGCTCTATGAGGAGAAATGTGGGGTCAAGATTGGTGGATGATTTATCAACAATCTGCGTTATGCAGATGACACAACCCTGCTTGCTGAAACTGAAGAGGACCTGAAGCACCTGCTGCAGAGTGTCAAGGACTGCAGCCTACAATATGGATTGAGGCTCAATGTCAAGAAGACAAAGATTCTCACCACTGGACCAATTGGCAGTATCAGGATGGATGGTGAAGAGGAGATTGAGATTGTACACAGCTTTAGTTTGCTTGGCTCCATAGTCAACAGTCTTGGCACCAGCAGCCAGGAAATGAAAAGGCGCATTGCCATGGGAAAGTCTGCTGTTAGGGACCTCTCCAAAGTGCTGAAGAGCAGTGGTGTCTCTCTGGAGACTAAGGTGCGTCTGATACAGGCCATGGTCCTCGCAATCACCTGTTACGCATCAGAGAGTTGGACAATGACCAAGGAGGATAGAAGGAGAATTGATGCCTTTGAGCTGTGGTGCTGGAGAAGAGTATTGAGAATACCATGGACTGCTAGGAAAACAGATTTGTCCTGGAGAGGGTTAAACCGGGTGGCTCCTTGGAGGCAAGGATTCTGAGGCTCCGTCTAACTTACTTTGGACATGTTGTGAGAAGAGACCGGTCCTTAGAGAGGGACATCATGCTTGGGAGGGTGGAGGGATGGCGCAGGAGAGGAAGGCCCTCTATGAGGTGGATTGATTCAGTGACTGGGATAATTGGGATGGGAGTGTCAGAGACAGTGTGATTGGCACAGGACAGAGCGGAGTTTAGGGCTGTTGTACACAGGGTCGCTATGAGTCGCAGGCGACTCGATGGCACATAACAACAACAACAACAACAACAACAACCTTTGAGATTGTAGTGCAGCTTCTTGCCATTATGTTATTGTTGTTGTTTATTGCCTTGGTCTGAGCCTTCTACAACTATCAATATTTATCAAAGTTCATAGAGTTTCTGGAGGCATGTTATTTAGGAAGTGGATGCCACTATTTGCAGTCAGTACATTAAACGTGCTCTACTGTCACTATGAGTCGCAGGCAATCCATGGCGCATAACAGCAACAACAATAAAAGTTTGGAAGAAGTGAACACATAACTTGAAAGTCAATGTCAGATGATTTAGGAACTTGGAGATTCACAAACCTTGAGAAAACAGTCAGCACCTGTAAAAAGAGAAAGAGTAGCTTGCTGGGAAGGACTAAGTCTGACCTCCACAAACTACACAAAATGCAAGAGTCCTGTCAGTAACATCTACAATTACAAAACTAATTCACATAAATCAAACATACCACCACACTTCTGTACCTACTTCTACTAATTCCAACATCAGTTTTACTGCTCTGCTGGGTCTGCAATTTGTTGCAATAACTCCACAAACTCTACATAACTCTGATAATGGGTTTTATTAGGGAAGTTAACAGGCTATCATTCAAGTTGGCAGGAGAATACAGTTCCTCAGTCCAGAAAGCGTCTGAAGTACATTTGCAGACCCCTTGACCTTCAACTTCATGGCCTAGATCAATGTTGCAAAATTCCCTTAGTCTTGCCAGTTATGGCTTCTTCCCTCAGTCCTCCAGCAAACTTGGGTAAAGACCTCTGGCTCTTGTTGCATAGGGTAGCAGTCCCAAGTCAGCTCTTTCTCATGTTGGTCTCTGGTTCTCTGCTGAAGCTGCTGGTGCTCTTATGTAGATTCTGGTCTGGCTGGTGCAAGATGAGGGCTGCTTCCTCTTCCTTGTCAGCATTGAGATTCCTCAATTTTTGCTGTTGAATCTGCTCAATTTAATGATTAGTCTGTTCCTTTGTGGATAGACTAATACACTATGCTCATTTTCCTTTCCTTCTGTGTGGCAAAGTCAGTGGCTTTGTAATCCTTAATAACACCATGCCATCTTGCTATAGAAAGCAACTGCAAATTAATTCCCCATCAATAAGCAGGGTCAGATTCATTCAGGCTGAGGATTGTTACACTAATCCGACTGTGGAAGAGAAAGGCTTTGCCCAGAAGGAAATGTAGAAATTAGTTAGTTTATAAAGTAGAAATCTTAAGGAATGTTTTTGAGAATGGATTTTGAAAATGCTCAACTGGGAGGAGTGATAGGGAATGGCAAAGGACACACTAACAAAGGAGATTATCAGAACTGGCTTTGACAAGCACTGTGTCAACGGGACAATTAAAACAAACTTTCAAGGGGGGGAAGAGAAACGAACT